CTTGTTGGCCTCGCTCAAGGTTTTTGTAGCAAAAATGTTGCTTGTGCCATTTCTAGGGCATCTTGTGTCATTTCTTGGTATCTGCTCGTAAAGAATTTTAGATGCTTGCATTCGAGCGAGGAACCAATACGTGACTCAAAATGAAAGGTAGATGCAGCAGTATTTAGGCTGCATGACCACTTGTCTAGCCGCAATTTCCTTGATCGAACGCAAGGAGCTTGTATAGCCTGAAAGATGTGCCGATAATACTTGAAAACCAGTGCTTTTCTGATTTAAATTCTTCGTATCAAGCACATAGAGTCACATATATAGGTGCCATCGACGATTATTCTTAATGTGATGAGGTCTTCATGCCCCGGCCTTTGATAGCCCAGATGTCATTCAACAATGACATCACTCGCCGCGATGAATTCCTTACTCGTCCTAGATTGAATTGCATAGGCCGAATCTCTTTATTTGACCCCTCCCCCCCTCGGTAGCTCAATTCGCTATTCGTACCGACTACACATAAATAGCCAAGTCGCTCAAAAGCGAGCCATCGCGAGTCACGCATCATCCCCGTCCATAACACGCTGTCGTACACTGACCCTGACCCATTACAACCAAGGCGAAGTCGCGTGTCGGCCTTTCCACATTCTTCTTCTCCCCACGGTATTTCTGAAACACAATTCCGATGCCTTTCGGTCTTGGAGGGTTCGTCCCGGCTCTTATCAGCGAACCCCGAAATCTGCTTGATAGCCTCTCCCAAAATGACACATTCTTTTCCCCGCCGCGGCCGCCTCCACAGCGCGGCCGCCGGCTCTTCCAAACTCTTTTAGGATGCTGCGGCCGAGGCAACTGCTTCTTCTTTTCTTCTTCTTTTCTTCTTCTTCTCTTCTTCTCCTCCTTTTCTTGTCTTCCTCTTCTTCTTCTTTCTTCGGACCAATATGCCCCTGTGCTTCACGTCTCATCACACGGCATGGGGGTCCTTACTGGTCTTTGCCACTTGTTGACATAATCACAGTGACAAGCCAATATATTATGCGTCGCATAACGCTTCTAAATAGTCATGGATAACCCTTGTTCATTTTTTGTTTCGGATTTGACCCCGACTTGCAATGACAATCTTGATTGCCGTGTTTTCGCAGTGTCATGCACCAGATTAGGGCAAGCTCGTCTACCAGTACCCTGTTTGCTTGTCAACGTTGATGACAGTTTTGCTCGGTCCGCCCATCTCTTCTGCCAGGGTATTCCCTGTCGCTCATCTGTCACCATTGCCGATTACCTTTCATGGCTACAGTTCACCCCAACCTTGTGAATAAGGTGAAATAGAGACGGCAGATGCTTCGGAACGAACATTACAGGTGAGATCCTTGCTATACCACCAACTGCAAGTTTACTCGTGATTACTCTAGTGGGTTTGGGTTAGTTACGACGATACAATTGTCAGTGCCCAAGGCTGATCGCTATAAGTGATAGCCTCGATTCTGGGACACGGGGGGCCTCCGGTTAATAGAAGCAATAATACAATATCGAGTAACTAAAGCGAAGTAGTAAAAGTAAAACGAGACCATGGTAGCCGAGACCAAGCATCTCGTACACTTTCGTGCATCACTGGCGTCGAGGATTCCATGCTCGAGTCATTGGCATGCTCGGGAACTCAATCTGCAATCGCAAGGCTTGCCTTCCAGGGCGACGCTCCAGTGGAAGCATGGCAAGTTGATTATGCGCATTAAGCTTTTTTTTTGAAAGATCCGATACCATACCGGCTTCTTGGTGGCCGCAGGGTTCTAGCCAAGCAACTTGAAACTTGTTGCATATTCTAGCAGATGCCACTACCAGCCACTCATAATCGAAGCTTAAAGGCTACGTGTATGAAATACGTGCACTGATAGCTAGCTGTGAGTTGAGCAATTGTCGACCGAATTTGGTAACAATAATCTTTTCTTCTCTGCCCTCCTTCGGAATGTCTGCTCCTTCAGGTGTGCCAGTCTATGTGCGCAGCTTTACATCATTCCGACAGACGTTGTAAATGAAGTCACCTTTGAAAAAAGATGGAGACTACGTGGAAGGGATTGGCGGCGGCGATCATGCCGGCGTCAGTGATTGATGATGGTTGATCATCCATCACGTTGCCACTAAACTGAGCATCCCATGGCTGAGCCAAACGAGACCTAGGTTGGCAACGCAACCACAAGTCCGGTACATGCACTATGATGCTCTATGTGATGTAATTACAAAAAGACGAAACTGCGGGCTTGGGGGGCGTGCTTTAGAGCTGATTTCACATAGTTACTTTGGAGAAAGCCGCACCGTTCGAGATGCAACGTCGCGCCAACGGCCCGTCGAAAAAAAATATTGCCGAGCCAGTGACAAAAAATGAAGTCTTTTAAAGTATGTGTACCAGTACAAAGTAAGTAGCTGTAAGGCCAAACTTGGCATTTGCGCCATCCCTGTCGCCAGCCTCTTTTAGCCAAGCCTCTTTCCCCCACCCGAGATAGTTACTTGGTTACTTTTCAAGTAAAATCTGAGACGGCCTGGAGTGAGAGCATCCGTCAATTCGTCCTTTTTGCCAATCCTAGCGCGTATGAAGAATGACAAAACAAAAAAAAATAATGATTGCGGTTGCGGGATCTTGAGGAGCCGAAACCCGTTCAAAGCATACTTGGTAGGGCAAAGAGAGCCAAAGAAGAGTCGCAATACGTTGGCCGCCGCAGGAGACGAGGAGAGAGCGGAATAAAAGGGGGCCGCTCCCATTTGCGGAGGGTTGTCCCTGCAAGCATAACTAGGAAAGAGGGTTGGAGGGCTAGTGGTTCGGAGCATTACCTTGCATGGATCTGCTACTCTAATGGGCTTTTTTCACAAGCAAAGTTGATCTCCTAAAAAAAAAAATGACAATTATTAGTTATACTCCGACTCGAAGATCGTCTCAAGTTCTGTTACCAGGGGCCACACGGTCCCACCCGCAAAGCCTCATTTGGAGTGCGTGCCCTCGGGTTACCTGCTATCTGGGCAATGGGCCTTTTGCCGCAACCGCAAAGAAAGGGAAGAAACAAAAACAAAGAAAGGATAATTTTTTTTTTTGGTTGCTGCATGAGCAAACTATCCAAGACGAGACGACAACAGCCGCCAACATGACAGCTTCCGGTGTCGAGTTGGTTACAGTTGACAAGCTTCCGCGTTGGCAAGGCTTTCTGCGGGAAAAAAAGGGCGTCCATCCCCCCCGGACTTGTGTCAAAAAAAGGTCACAGCGCACATTTTCCAAATTCTGCGAGCAATGTTCTAGCCCGGGCAAGCGGAATAATTAATGGGCTGGCGCCATATTAGCGCCCGCGCTGGCTTGTTTGTTGGTACTGTACATGTGAAGATCAGTAGTCAAGTTGGTGAAGTTGTAGGCCGACGTTGATCTTTGCTGTTGACGAGGTGTATGTAATAACTAATAAAGAATGACCGGACCGCCTAGCTGATTTGGACTGGGGCCCGGGCCCGTGTGGCTTGCAATAGCTGACAGGTTTTGGGGCAAGGGCTCCGGCCGCTGTCAAAAGGGAAGCCCACTGGCTACCTAGGTACCTACTCTGTACGGAGTACTCGGTGCTGGTAATGAACGAGCCACACGAGCCCTCCTCCTCCTGTTGCCAGTCCAGTAAATACCAGTAAATTTACTGGTAATCCGTAGTTGGTAGGTAGAGCGGTATCGCCCCATTTCGTAATGGATTAGCCCACCAAGCAGGCCTTGCCATGCAAAGAGCTCTTTGGCCCACCCAGCGATCCGCGATGGCTTGCGCTGGCTGTCGTCGACACACACCACCCACCCCCCGTGGTGTCAATCCGCGGTGGCGCTCCTCTCTAACAATTTTTAATATTTTTGCTTCCACTCCTACCCCCCCCCCAAGCCAGATCCACAGGTCGTTATGGCGAGTCCCCCCCTGTTGGTGCAACCGCATGGCGCTTCGTTAGCGCCACACCCTCGAGTCACTGAGCAAGCAAGCAAACCAAGCAACCAAGCAAAAACTGCACCAGAACTCACTGCTCACCATTGCCAAGTGTTCGATCAATGGCGACGCCACTGGGGCTCCTTTGCCATGGAGGCGTTTACCCATATAAACGCCAATATGGATACTTTTTTCATTGCCACAGAAAACGGCCAGACGCCACGCCCCCCCCATCCCTCCTTCCTCATTTCTTCGTCACAAGTCGGTTTGGGTTCCTTCCAATCAACCACGTACCAGTATTAAACCTCTCAGGTCAGCACACAGGGATCGGAAACCATACAAGCACCACAAGCCATTTTGCCTACTTTCAATTGCAAGGTCTCACAGATCACTCGGTGGATAAACCCTCCCGATCTGATATACGACCGCTCCCCACACACAGTCCTCTTGTCGACCGGGCCAAGGCTGTTTTCTGCAGTACGCCCCGTCATATTTATACCACCCTTAACCCCCCATCTCAAAAAAGAACGATACATAAATAGTCTAGTTCCAAGTCGGCCACTTTCTTCTACACCACCCGAGACAGTATCCACGATATCAATACTCTATCTGCCTTTCGTCCATACAAGTTCGATCTGGTCCTCTGAGCTACACCTGACAACTTCCCCTCCTTTTCACCCAAACATCTTGGTCAAGATATTGTGAAGAAAAGGGACCGAATTCACAAAGAACGGGACCAAAAGCAAGTGCAGCAAGTGCAACGACACAGTCAACTATGGCAGTCCCCCTCGCCTACGCCCCGACGACAAGCAACCAATTGTGTAACCGGCCCCCTCGACCTCCCCCTTCGCCCCCGATGGACGACTCTCGTTGCTCTCTTCCTTCCATCTCCAACTTGCTGGGTCTCGCGGACGCTGGCTCGCCCACGACAGACCCATCACCGACATCATATCGAGGATCTCCTCAGTCAGAAGGTAAAAAGCACTCAACAAACGCAGTCCGAGTGCCCTGAATCAAAAGCTAACTTAAACATCCACAGCCCTTCCATTCTCACATGGGCGAAGCAGACGAGAATCTGGCAGTCTTGGGAGCCGTCCGAGCTCCAGACACTCGGGAGCGTTCCAGCATCGCCGCGGCCTTCCGCCTACGCCGCCTCTCAGCACAGATCACACATATGACAACTACAACTCACCATCGAGCCAAAAAAGAGGCCACTTCCCCTTTGATTCGAGCTCGTGTCACCGCGTCCATGAGACGACACCTCCGCTTGAGCCGGAAACCCGACAGCAACTACAAGGCCCATCGCGGGCACCACGTCTGTCGATTCCCGTGCCGCCGCAGCGCTTTGCTCACCCACAATCAATACAGCAGCAAGCAGTGCCCAACTACTACAACGGGCCTGTTCAGCATTCCATGGTGCTCGCCCCGGGACAGGCTGTTCCTCACTACGGACAGCAGCAGCAGCAGCAGCCACTGCCGCACGCTTTCCCTCCTCAGTCGGCGCCCGAGAGCCAACAATTGTGGCAGCACCATCATTACCTGCACCCTTCCCAGAACAGCGTCTACCCACAAAGTCAGGACAAGTACCTTTGCCCGACTTGCAACAAGGCCTTTAGCCGGCCGAGCAGTCTGCGGATCCACAGCCACTCGCACACGGGCGAGAAGCCCTACAAGTGCGCGCATCCGGGATGCGGGAAAGCATTCAGCGTGCGCAGCAACATGAAGCGTCACGAACGAGGCTGCCACTCTGCCAGCGTCATGGGAGGTCGACCGATGGTCTAGGATGGGGACACGAAACTACTCTACGAATATGCAGCACGATGGGACATGCATGGTCTGTATCATGAATGCACGGGTGTGGGTAGACCGTGCGTGGGGTCAGATGGCCCAAAGGAGGGGACATGCACAGACATTACTCGATTTTCTTTTTGATCATTTTTTTTTTATCATTTTATTCACTTGTTTTTTTTTGCGGTTCTTGTTGGTTGGCGAGGCGTTTCGGAAGGCATTGAATTCCTCATTGGATGTGATTTGGAATTTGTGCAAAAATGGCCGGGGTCGAGCCTGGCTTGGTTGGCTATTGGTTGGACCTAGCCAGGACAATGTTTAACTATTGGTGGTTTCGAAAAGAGACAGAGTGTACAAAATTGAACTGTGGATCAATTTTGAAAAGCAGTATTAGATGTTGGGCGCATCAAGAACAAAAGACCAAGATGTCTCCAAAGAATACAAAAACCATTGTCTGGGAATTATAATAATACTAAGTACAATTATCGTGAAACACGGCGACTTAGCTAAAGATGTCGCCACAATCGGTCAGCAGAAGTTTGGGGGGCGCATAAGACCACAAGACCAGTCAAGTTTGACAATTTGTCAGTGACAACACGCATTGCTCCATGTTGGTTGATTTTATCCTTGAATCTTGGAATGATTGACTTGTAGGGTCACATCTAAAAGATGGAGTTTCCACCGTTTTGGCGTCATCGGAACTGTTTTTCCTATCAGCGGTGGTGGGGATACCGAGCGTGCCCCGAAGCAATCTACCTAACCTAAATAACCACTTGACCCAGCCCGGTTATAACTATTCATTTCTTTATTCTGCTGCTCGGTTTTTTGCCAAGTGGGACACCTTGGGGAACCAGTCTCAGTCAGTAAAAATAGCAGAGTCGCAGTGCAGCGCAGTGCCGTTGCAGTGCAGTTACAGGGACAGTGCACATTGTGTGCAGCAAGGAAAAAAAAAAATGCAACGATCATTGTGATGTTATTGATTGCACGCACAGAACCCGTGGGAAAAGGGCCCGTTGGCACTAATAAACTAAAATAAATTTCAACACATTGCAGCGCGTAGCGGCATTGGTGGATGATGGATGGGGGTGGGTGGCTGTCAAAAGAAACCGGCAGATGATCGAACTTTACGCCTCAGGACTCGGGCTCCTCTTTTTTCCTTTCTGTCGTTCTTGGAGCTTTATTTGTACGGAGTAAAGAGTCAGGATTGGGATTTGGCCAGACAAGTCCCTGGCCGGGTCTGTTGTCGCATTGGGGGGGGGGCGGGGTGTGTGTGTGTGTGTGTGTGTGTGATGCGCATGATCGGCGGCGGAGCGGAATGGTGGTGGCCGTTTTTTCTTAGTTGTCTTCTCTATCAGTAAGTAGCCGCCTGCCAGTGCGGAAAGAATATCCATCACATGAAGTTTCCAATTTTTTTTTTTTCTTGTGACACGTCCTTGCCGTCTTTTCTCTCTGGGTTCAACCATCGAGAAGGGGGGAGGGGCCGGCCCCCGATAAACTCACACGACGATCATTGTTTCTAATTCTGATTGCTGGCTGGCGATCGGCGCAGCAAACCCCCCCTGCCTTTTTTTTTTGCTCGTTTGGCATCTAAAATTAATCGGTGAAGATGCTCTTTAAAATGAAAAAACGCTCGGGCACCAACACCGTTAGCGGTAACTTGTCAGACACGAACCAGTCGGATGTTTCGGAAGCACAATTGAAATACATATTCTGAACTAGTGGCTGAGATGATATTTGACTTTGGTGGCTACTCGTCTGGTCTTATTTCCATTGCAATATCTGCTCTCGAGATGACACAAAAACCTGGCTTCTCCAACTCGCCACTTTGTGAACGGTTTTACCCACGGACTTGACCCATCTTTGAATACGTCGGTAATATAAAGTAGCATTCTCCAGGTGGCTGGCTAGTTGCGAGAGAGGTCGAGCATTGCTGCAAAACTAGTTGGTTTTTCAGATGTGGGTGGATCGGCGACCGGCCGGCGGGCGCCGGTCACACACTTGTGGTTCCATATCGGAGCGCACCCATTTTGAGGGCGCCTAATAGTTATTTTCACGGAATGTGCAAAGGGTCCAAACAGGCGGGGGGGCCTTTGAGCAATTCCCTCAGCCTAGTTAAATCATCTGACATGATTAGCAAGAGTATAACGGTCATGCTATTATTTTACGGTATTTTAATCCATGTTCAAGTGTAATAGTGGGTAAAATCATTCTTGTTCAAAACGGAGGGTGCCGCTGCAAGATTGGTTTTTTGAAGCGGATCTTGAGAGGGGGAAGCGGAATGCTACACTCTAATAATAGTCCAATAAGCTCGTGTTTTCGATAGTTTGCAGTTTCGGGTAGAAAAAACTCGACCCAGCCTGGCGCAAGATCAATAGCCGATCGTGCTGGCGACACGCCCAGACTAATCCCGCAGGATAGGCTTATTCGGGCTCTTTCAGGGTCGCCGTTTTGGTCACTCAGTTTGAATAACGATCATCACCCCCCACTGATAGCCTGCTTCTGTTTCTTTTTTACAGGTCATTACGCTGCGCACCACCCATCGTGACCAGATGCCTTGTTGGAAAAAAAGGCCCCCCTCCCCCAGGACGAAAAGAGCTAGCTTGAAATCGGCTGCAAGAAGCAATGCACGGCACTCGCTTAATAGTTTTTTTTTTCGGCTTGCCTTTTATGAGGACGCAGAGTCATTATCCCAGCCATCCCCGCGCCATCCAGCCATTAGCGCGGTTTATAATATCTACTTGATAAATTCCAAAAGGGCCAAGGGAGATATTTATTGAGTTGGTTTTGTTGTTGTTTGCTCGTGCTGCGGGCCCGGCCTGATTCTTTGTTACTGCTTAACCTAAATAGTATATGTACTCTGATTTGCGATATAACTACTTACTGGGCCTTGACGGGACAAAGCCCACGCATGAACCACACAGAGTATCACCAGTTGGCTGGTGCATGACGCCCCTAACTTTGGTGGGAGAGGCTGTGATCAGTAAACAGTTGGTTTGTCGTGTCTGTGTACTGCTAAAAAAGCCCCAATTGCAAATCTTCAGCTGCTGGGAGCCACAGGCAGGTAGTTATGCAAGCGACAAGTGGCGCAGGCGCCGCAGTCGATTCCTAACTATGTACGGATATTCGTACATTTGATCAACAACTCATCACAGAACAAATCACAGACAAAGTTCTGCGGGCGCACTAACGCAGCGCACGTTTGTTGTGGGCTTTTTTGGGCCGCAGTATCCGTGCTGAACCCGGCAGTGAAAGCCGACTGCCTTTTTTTTTTCGACTTTGATGATTCTTCCCCCCCCCTCACTTTTTTTACGGCGATGCAGTCTAGTGCCTGGAAATCGCACGAGGGGGGGGGGGGGCTGAACAAGAAACAAAGAAGCGCTGAGCGGTGAACTCGGCAGCGTCGAGGCTACGAAACTCTCCAACGGTCAGACACTTGGGTAATTAGTCGTGTCTCTGAATCCCCCCCCTCCATGATCCCTGGGAAATGCAGCCAGCGCAGCCACCTGTCAATCAAAAGCAGATAAAACTCGATGTTTTTTTTTCGAGCAACTCCCCGTCCATGTTGTTTGTCGTCTAACTAGGTAGTTGGCTGGCTGGCTGGTCATGCGCAGTGTCAAAGCAATGCGTTGGCTGCGCGAGTCGTGTCTTTCTGCAGCATCCACCAACCGCCACCAACCACCACCACCCACCCTCCCCTCCTTCAGATCTCTTTCTCGTTTGGGGCTTCTCAAGTCTCGTCGTTGTGACAGAAAGGTTGCCACGAGTTCTGCGAAAAAAAAAAAAGAGGGAATTTCTTGGACCCTTTTTTTTTTTCCCCTTTGAGTTTCTTCACTCGATGCGGCGCCAGTTTTAACCGTTCATGTTTTGTCTCTGCCAAAGGAAAGAAAAGTGACGTATTAAATATTATGTATCGTGTTCGGCTCTGCGGGATTCGCGCCGCAGCCTGTAGGATCTTCCATTTCTGCTTCCCCGCCTTGACGCCGATTGGCCAACTCGCTCGCTCCGTACACATGTTGCAAGACAAGACAGACAGACAGGCAGGGCAAGGCAAGGCAGCAGGGCACCCACCCCTGGGCCCTGATGCAGCTCGCCGCGGTGATCTGTTGCATGGGCTTCGGGTATACGGGTGATGCGCACGTTTCTCACCTTCTTTCAGTTTTGGTGTGGGTGCGGTAACGGTAACGCAACTTGGTAACTTCAGCGTCGATACAATAGCGCACACATGTGTGTGTGACCAAGGTATTAGCAAACAATAACGCATTTCTTTTTTTGACCGATGGTGCGCATCCCGAGCTGACTCAAATGCATCGCGACTCGTTTGGCGACTCGTATGGCACCACGTTTGTTCCATCTCGTTCCATGGTTGCTTGCCGAGCGCAGAATCCCGATTCCTTTCGAGTCCGACTTACGTCAAGACAACAACAATATGCTTACAAAGCCCCACAACTTCGGCTTCCATTTTGTGTCCCACGACAGCGAGTTTCATTGTAAGTTGTACATGATGCTTGAGGGCAAATCAGTCGATCATCGCTCGCATCTTGTGCTTCCCGCAGCAAACTGTCCAATGCGATGCCACGAATTTCTAATGCGGAACCCTTATGCTGGTATGGTTCCTTGAAACCTTGTAATACAAGTATCTTTTGGTGGCTTTGCTTGGGCGATCATCACGGAAAAAGGTTTTATATGCACCTAAGGCGGCCACATTGTGCGTTGGCTATCCCTGCCAAACAGAGAGGAGGGGGGTGGCAGCTGTGAGGGCGGCTCCGTCCCGCTCGTTCCTTGTGAAAAAAGTTACGTTGCTGTGGAATAGTTACATATATAAAAAAAATAAATAAAAAATAAAAAATAAAAAAGAAGAAGAAGAAAGGGAAAAAAATCTACAGCTTTTCTGCGAAAAAGAGATGCACACCCTCTTTGTCGCGCAGCACTGACCCCCACAAACATGTCACAGTGAACCCATGACAGAACATCGTGTTGACCTGTCACCAACCGGC